AGAGTCCAGTTTCCACATTATATCTTCGAGGCAAAAATGGTTAATTCCTCCTGAACCTAAAATTAATTTACAGTATTTTACGAGCTGACATCACGCACAGGCAAAATTAAGTGTTATGGTCCACGTTTAGTCCTTGGTTTGGTCCTACGGAGGTAGTAAAACGCTGATTACGGTTTAGAGGGGAGGGAAATAACCAATGTAGGTGCTTATGGAGGCGAATCGTGGAAAATTTGTTAAAACACCTTGTTTGCAACACTCGAACATCCACAACACCGCCATAGAGGCGGATCAGCAGGAGTGAAACCCGATTTGTGGCTTAAAATTCTCGTTTTATAATTTCACATCCACATATTAAATGCTCATTATTTGAAGTTGCAAGTGACTACTTTTGGTTGAAAGGAGAACTTACGATAAATCTAAAACCAAAGCTGACTGCTTTTGCTGTATCGAATGTTTATGGTGAAAGCATTTCATTTCAGCTGACTGGCTCCAAGTAAACCTTTGACTAAGGAATGCATATGGATGCTGCCGTTGCTGATGTGTTCTCCAGTTTGGGGCGAAAACAACGCAATAGCAAAACTTCAAAGGCTTGCTGGTTCAATGGAAGGCATTCACTTGTCAATTTTGTTGAGATATGTTTTCTATGCGGAAATGAATGATTAAAACACAGAGCAAGCACTGTCCAGGCGACAAAACTGCAAGCACCAACAGCACTTGGGAAGATGACATTATGTATGAGAAGTCGGCTGTAACCGGTACCGTCCATAAAGGGATTGAGACTTGTGAAACCTTCCAACATTAACGGATCTTCGCTTTGGCAGGCGAATAATGACAGAAGGGACGACAATAATTTGAATATATTAGAATAACAAAAAACTTGCGCTTACTACCTTGATACATTTATTCCTGTTAGAAGGACGAATAAAATTTTACATGCAAAATTACCCACAATGACTGCAGAATGTGTTTGCGGTATATTGAGAGCTCAAAGTCATGGATAATAGCAGGGACAGTTGACATCTCACCGACTAAAATAATTTTGGGCTTTAAAGATGGCTCTGGTGAAAAATATTTACAAAAAAGGAAAAGCAGTCTTCTACACAGAGGTCAAAAGCAGTGGAAGACGCAGCATGTAACAGTGGCACGAAGGTAAGTCCATGGCAGGTTGTGTTCGCACTCCTTGCATCAACGAGGGCACCCGCCTCCAATTCCATAAACGGTGCAACCTTTGTCAGAATTCATACCAGACAGACTCAAAAGTGGCGCCACACGAATGCGAGACGATAAAATACTTGTCTACACACTATCAT